CCAACAGCGACGAATGATGACGAGACGGATGCCGATGTAAAATCCTAGAAGGCCAAATCCAGAATGCCGGCCGCGGCTGGCCGAGGCCAAATTCTTGAACGCGCAGGAAGGGACCCCCACCGGAGACGGGGCTCCGCGTTTACTGATATACAAGGGAGGCGCGGTTGCAGGCCACCACGTGATCCGAATCTTGCAAAAACATGTGGGTTTGGTTCCATTTGCTGGGCCGAATGAGCCGCGAATGAACATCCGGATGTACCAGAATGTACCCCCGAGTGCATCCTCCCCAGCGCCCCAGGCGGACCCCGACTCACCCCCCCACACGTTGTCGTCGTTGTTAGTCGGCCGTCGCCGTGGTTCGTCGTTGTCGTTAATCGTCGTTCGTCGGTCGTCGTCCCGAGTCGGTCCAACGATCGTCGTCGTCGTCGTCGTTCTCGTCGTCGTCCGTCGTCGTCGGTCGTTTTGGCTACGGATACAATGAGGTTGAGAGAATGACGTTGGACCCAAATTCTGCCCGATATGGGTATGCTCATTCAAATTTCACTACCAATCTCACTAACAACAATAGTCACCTGACTGGACAGTCAGGAACGAATTTGCTAGTGTGAATTTTGTCGAGGTGTGTCCGTCTAGAGAGCATAACTCGTTTAGACCGCGGTGGAGGCCTGTCCACTCATGCGCAGCTGTTAAATCCGCCCGACCGGCCGACTGGCCGACCCACCGACCGACCGAACGAATGACCGACGACGATGACCGACAAATGACAGCGACGGCGACGACCGACCGACCGACCGACCGAACGAATGACCGAGCGACCCAGCGGCCGAGCGACCAAGCGACCGAGCGATCGACGACGACGACGACGACCTCTGGCCGACCAAGCGATCGACGACGACGCTGTCGACCAACAGCGACGACAGACGACCACCGACAGACCGACCGACCGACCGACCAACGACGACCGAATTGCGAGGACGACGACCGATGGCGACGATCGACGGACGACGACGACAGACCGACCGACCAACAGCGACGAACGACGACGAGACGGACGCCGTCGTAAAATTCTAGAAGGCCAAATCTAGAAGGCCGACCACGACCGGCCGAGGTCAAATTCTAGAACGCGCAGGCTGGGTAAAATTCTAGGACGCAGCCCCCCCTTCCTTCGCGTCCCCCCCCTTCTCGAGACGGGGGTTCCGCTTCTAGGAATATACAATGGAGGGGTGGTTGCAGGCGAATGTGCCACCTCGGGCTTCGAATCCTGCAACAACCTGTCGTTTTGAGACCACCCGCTGAGGCCGAATGAACCTGAATGAGCCCGGATGAATCGCGAACGAGCCCCCGAGTGTACCAACATGTGCCTCCGACTGAACCTTCCCCTTCGCCCCAGACGGACGCCGACTCAACCACCCATACGTTGTCGTCTTTGTTCATCGGCCGCCGCCGTGGTTCGCCGTGGTCGTTAATCATCGTTCGTCTGTCGTCGTCCTGAGTCGATCCGACGGTTGTCGTCGTCTTCGTCGTCGTCCGTCGTGTTCGGTCGTTTTGGCTACGCATACAACGAGACTGAGAGCATGATGTTGGTCCCAGAGTCTGCCCGATGGTATGCCCATGAACGTTTGCCTCGGCCTCAGCCTCAGCCTGCCTCGGCCTCAGCCTCAGCCTCAGCCTGCCTCAGCCTCAGCCTGCCTCAGCCTCAGCCTGCATCAGCCTCAGCCTCAGCCTGCCTCAGCCGCAGCTTGCCTCAGCCTCAGCCAGCCTCAGCCTCAGCCTCAGCCTGCCTCAGCTTCAGCCTCAGCCTCAGCCTGCCTCGGCTTGCCTCAGCCTCAGCCTCAGCCTGCCTCGGCCTCAGCCTCAGCCTGCCTCAGCCTCAGGGTCAGCCTCTCAGCCTCAGCCTGCATCAGCCTCAGCCTCAGCTTCAGCCTGCCCCAGCCTCAGTTTCAGCCTGCCTCAGCCTCAGCCTGCCTCAGCCTCAGCCTGCCTCAGCCTCAGCCTCAGCCTGCCTCGGCCTCAGCCTCAGCCTCAGCCTGCCTCGGCCTCAGCCTGCCTCGGCCTCAGCCTGCCTCAGCTCGGGCATTCAAAATATGGCACAGGACTTGTGTTTTGGGAGCACGAAGATCACGAAGTGGCCCACAGTTGGCTCCGGGCAATCAAACATTGGTACAGGAATAGTGTTCTGGGAACACGAAGAACACGAAGTGGCTTACAGTTGGCTCCGGGCATTCAAAATGTGGCCTGGGAGTGGTGTTCTGGGAACACGAAGAACACGAAGTGGCCTACAGCTGGCTCCGGGCATTCAAAATGTGGCCTGGGAATGGTGTCCTGGGAAGACGAAGAACACGAAATGGCCTACAGTTGGCTCCGGGCATTCAAAATGTGGCCTGGGAATGGCGTTCTGGGAACGCGAAGAACACGAAGTGGCCTACAGTTGGCTCCGGGCATTCAAAATGTGGCCTGGGAGTGGTGTTCTGTTGGCTCCCGACATTCAAAATGTGGCCTGTTGGGAGTCTCCGGATCCCCCGGATTCCCCCGGCATCCGCCCAGACTCTCATGGGGGG